TGTAATCCGATATGTAAATGCACACGCGAATCGTCTGGCAAGGGACATGTGGAATTGCAGTAATTTATAAAAAGAAGTAATAATATTATAAAAAATGACAACTTCAAAAACGTCAACAAACCCATGCTTATAGCAAATTATTAGAAAAAGACTAATAATCGCGAAATCGCTATTATTTATATATGAATAACGATAATTCAAAGCGATAAACGTAAAACAATTTGTTCTTTTTTTGTGGTAAATTTCATTACAGTAGAGTATAATATACGCATATTTTTTAGTTTTACAAAATTAAGAGAGAAAACGGCGCAAAGAATTAAATATTAAAAATGAATGAAGTATTTAAAACTTGAGTTAGTAATTCCCTCGAGAACAAATAATAATTAGCAATTTTAGTAATTTTTTTTTTCGATAAAAATATTACTACGTCTCTCTATCTAGAATTGTCTTCTCTCTTGAGTTACCGCACTGAAAAAATTAACATATTTGATGCACCACATTATTACTTCGAGATGTAGTATGAAATGTTAAAAGTGAAAACTATAATAAAAGCTGTCTTTTGACGCAAAACACAATGGATTGCATGATAGTTTACGGAAATGTATTTTGGTGCTGAAGTAAATCATGGCCAGCCGGCCGCGTATAAAAATGAACAATGATGAATGGAACGGCGGACAACCCATAATCGAGAAACAATGTGTAGAATGAATAAAAATGAGATAATGGCAAGCGGTGTCCCGGCGATTCTCTCGACAAAGGAAGAGAAGCAAACTCAGGCTGTTGTCAGCACCCGATGTATATATTCGAAGAAAATGCACGCCTGGTTCTTTCTTCCTCTACGCATCCCTTTCACGTCCTATTATTCTTACTTTTTTTTTGCACCGTATGCGTGCGGGGTGTATGTACAGTGCGGAGCACCATATCGTGCGCCGTGAGGAGAAGTAGTTCTCCTCCGGCCGCCTCCTACTACTACGCGCCAGCGGCCCGAGATTTCATCCATATATCGGCACGATTACCGATGATACATACCGACGCGGTTACCAATCATACCGACAGGTATATATTACCATAAAATTATCGTAAACATTGAAAAGAGTAACTCCGCATTGAAAGTGGCTTCAATAATTTATATCAAATATTTATTTATTTAATTATTAGCTTTTACGTGATATAAGAAACTTATTTACGGTAAGTGTAAAAAAGTAAAATATATTTAAGTAAGAGAGTAAAAAACCAATACAAGACAATAGATAAATGTCATAGTGAACCAATTATTAAAATATTAAGAATAAAAAATAAAACACTATAATAGATTTTTATAATTAGCGTTAAATTTTCTTTAAAACATCAAAAATAAAAACTTGTAAGGCAATATTATAATAGTTATGTTTATATATAAATATATACATATATAGTTGTATATGTATTTGATTAAAAATGTAACATAATGATGACGTGAAGGAAGAGAGAGAGAGAGAGAGAGAGAGAGGAGATAAATGAAAAATGTATGTAAATTATACATTGAGAAACGTCATAGTTGTTATCGTCGTCGTTCGACCAAATTGTGTGCATGTTCGTACGCTTGCTGCCAGAAGACATATAGTACATATACGAGCGCGTTAAAAGAAGAAAAAGAAAGAAAGACAGGAAGTGTGAATTAAAAAGAGAAAGAGAGAATCAAGAGGCACGGTGGTGTTTCGCGTTTTTGGCGCCGGCAACATCTCCGATATAACTTTTTGTAATAAACTGTTTTGATACAACATACCGCGAAAGTATTAATGTACATGTTATGATCCGTGATTCCCTTACTGGAAATGGAGAAATCCTACACCAATTGCACTTACGCATTTCTAAATTGAAATTGATCTTTTATGCTTCGCAGTGGGCAGTTCTCAGTAGCAAGTTCTCTCTTTTTGAAATGCCGGGTTTTCTTTCTCTAAACTCTTGAAGGTTCACTGTTGCCAAATATTTTGAACTTATTTTTATCTGTGAAGATGACGCGTTTCCAAAAATTCATGGGCATGTTAAAATATTTTTTCGCGAATTTCAATCTTTTCTTCCTGTTAGTCAAGAGGCACGGTAGTGTCTCGCGCCGAGTTCACGCGCAATGAAGTCGCGCGCGAATGGTGCGAGCACTTCGTGCCTCTATTACGCGAAAATGAGTAAATTTGACATTTATGAAAAATTAAAATATTCATATTCCAGTAAGAAATGTTAATAATAAGTTAATAATAATAAGAAATAAATCGATAAACTTTAGTCTTAATATCGTTTCAGGTTTGAAAAATAAAAAAAAAGTATATATGTGTTTTTGTTGTCTCTGTCTTCTATTCAAAGATATTTGAAGATAATGTCTCAAATTGGTGAAATTTGCACATATAAAAATTTTTCGTCGGACAAATATGTATATCATATGTGCAACTTTATAGTTTCCGTCAACAGATGGCAAAGCGAGTGCGGTGCAATCATAGAGCTTATACTCATGGAGAGGCCTTGCCTATATGCTAACCATAGAGAGGGCCGCATGAGGAGCAACAGAGAGATAGATATATTCTGTCTCAACTGTGACTGTCCCACTCCGTGTTCTCTGTTATTCTCTTCTATAAGAAGTGCCCACAGTTGAAACAGAAAAATATATCTCTCTTTGTCGATCTTCCTTTGCGCTTGCCAAGACCTCTCCATGAGTATAAGCTCTATGGGTGCGCAATCTCATTTCTCTCTCTTTTTTTTTTTACTCTTTCAACTCTCTTTTATTCTCTCACATTCTTTCTCTCTCTTTCTCTCTCTCGATTGTGTCACGCACAACGAAATCGCTAAATTGTCAAAAATGACAGTTTGTCACTTTATAATGCAAAAGATACAAAAAATATGAATACAAAATGTACGTATATATGTAAAAAAAAAAAAAAAAAACATCGACATGAAATGCGTTATACCCGGAGGAAACGTCGAGATTAGGTTCATTACTTTTTTTATTTAGGTTATACCGGTAGTGCTGAAGATTGTTGCTCTTTAAGTTATCGTGTACTTTATGTTTACTTTTTTGTATTTTTTGTTGTGTTAATATATTAATGTATTTTATTTGCGATAAAATATGACCATTATGTACACACATTTTATGCTTTATTATTATAATTATTTATTATTGCAATTTAAGAATTTGAAAAATTTGATAGTAGAATAAAGAAAGATTAAAATAAAGAAAGAAATTTTAATAACTAACTTTTATTTTACAGACTATTACGCACTACTCTATATTTGACACAGTTTTAGCAAAGGTAGTACATATGTTGGCAAAGGATGGGAATGAAATACAGTAGAACTCCAGTAATTTCGAGCACATGGGACTGATTCTTCCTAGAATTTGAAATTATTTTCTTCCCCTTCCATTTTTTCCTCTTCCACCAACCAACTGGTAGCAAGAGACAAAAGATACAGTCATCGTGTTTCTCTTTTTGTTATCTGCGCATTCTACGAGTTGCGCAGTCACTCAAGAATATCGGGGAATTATGAATAGTGGGAAAAACTATTGGCCCGCCTCAAGGAGAAGTCGAAATTGTAGTGTTCGAAATTACTGGAGTTCTACTGTATACGTGAATACACAACAGAAAGCTATTTCCTTCCGGAAATAGCTTCAGTTAACATGCCAAAATCAGCAGTATTCTAATTTTACATTCCATAAAAGTTTCACTTCTTATTACACTCTTGGAGATCTTGAAGAAGAAGAGGCACAGAAGTAAAATTTCCATGAGAATAATAATCTATAGTCTATTATCTCTAATAACATATTATTAAGACATTCATCAATTATTCTGTAAGTTTTACAGAGCGCCATGACTGTCTTTAATACATTAGACAAATAAGTGGAGACTTGTCATATCTGTTTGGAAGTAGATGTCTGCAATTTGGCATTTATTTTAAAATACAAACATGGTATCAACAAGTCTCACTTGTCATCCATCTTAGATTGTGAGAAGTTGCAAGTACAAAATCACATTTTTTCTTAATTGTTAATTGGCTTGTCAAACTATTTTAATAGAAAAAGTCTAGTTAATTTTTTAAACAAATTTAATTTTGTTCAAATAGAATTCAAATATTTTTTATTTAAAAACTTTTTGACAATTTGAACTTTTCAATCATTATTAAAAAGCTTTGCTTAAGAATTTTATTTATCTGAATGTCAACTATTTTATAACAAATTTATAAAAAAACATCATATTCCAGGGCTGAAATGAAAAAGCCGAATTCTACTTTTTTTAAAATAGAAATATGTCTAATCTTGTTGTTTTTTGTTCTTTTGTGTGTTTCTTACATTGCATAAATGATTAATAAACAACAAATGTGAACAATAAGCGTTATAATTGATTGTGATTTAAATAGCTTTTTTGGTTTTCTACTAAAACTTGCTTTTTTATAAATAATAAAAATTAATATAAACAGCTCCAAATATTCTTAATATTAAACAGATATGTAATGATTGGCTGTTTGGAGCAGACACGGATGTCAATGTGTTCAAAAATTGATTTATTGCGATAGACTGTACAGAGCTTTCGATCTTTGGTTTAGGTCTTTCTTAATGTGGTACTACAAAAACATTAAAAATAATAAATAGCTTGCAATAAAGAAAACATTATAATATAGTAAAACTTAACAAAAACTTACAAAAAACTCGCAAAAAAGAAGGAGTGCTGGTCGTCGTTAAGGTGGTAATTACTAGTCGATGGTAGGACTAGAGGCTTGACCATCACTTTACAATAATAAAGAAGTGACTGAAGGGAGCTGAGATTCAAAACGAAAATCAAAGCTACGATCGTCGATCACATGACACCGTTCAATTACATGTATTATCTACAAATGGTAAATAAGATCTGTCCAGATTTTCGGTGTCACTATGTAAATTCAGACCATGGCTTTGCTTCCTTATATATAGAGTCTCCGAAATCAAACGCTTATTGTAAGATCTCTCATTATCCAATATTTTGACGTGATCTCAATCGAAATCACGAGAGTACTGGATTCTGTGATCCGTGATCACCGATCTCTGAGACGAATTTCTGTTCATATGATACTTATGTTCTTTTATTCTAATTTGTAGCATTCTGCCCGTCTGACCAACATAAGAAGCGTCGCAATATATCACGGCAATTTATTTGATATACAACAGAAGGACGTGAGGAATGGGGTAGAGGATCTTTAAGAACGTTGATGAATCTTGACAATTTGTCGGTACAATAAAAAGCTGAGCGTGTGTTAGTGTCTTTAGGAAATGCTGTTAAAAATTTCTCGGAAAAATTATTGATATAAGGTATCACAAACCAACGAGGCTGTGCACTGTTCACAGAATCACCCGACAAGAACCTCTTAGAGTTATTATTTATAAAAAATTATTTTTTTTAGTCGTTGTTTAAAAGTGTTGTAAATAGAGTCCAAAGGATAGTTATTGTCAATTAAAATGTTAAAAATCATGTCAAAATTTTTTGAGTGAAAAGTCGGTTGTGACAAAAAGAAAGCTCTGTCTATGAGACCTATGACCGTACCTCTTTTTTGGCTGATAGGGTTTGAAAAGTAATTAAGATATCTGCCTGAAAATGTTGGTTTGTAATACCAGTCATGAATTAATTTATTATTTTTCTTAATAATAGTGATGTCTAAAAAGTTTAGTTTGTCAAGACCAACCTCCATGGTAAATTGAAGTCGAGGATGGTATGAATTGTAATATTTAAGAACTACATCAAATTGATCTCTGGGAACAATGAGAGCTATATCATCAACGTATCTGATATGTAAAGGTGGAGTAAAAAATAGCATAGTAATAGTATATGATTCTAGATCTTGCATAACAATATCTGCCAGAATCGGAGAAAAAGGAGAGCCCATAGATGCACCAAAGGTCTAGGGTAGACCGAGGCGAATCGGATCACTTTTTGTTTAATGACCAAAACCTAACAGTCGAATACATATATTGGTAATTTTTAACATGAATTCATAATTAGTACACATTTGGCTTGCGTGTAAACTAAGAATATTAATAACAAACATGAAACTTTTTATTTTACATACAAAAACTTAAAAAGTGAGAAATATCCGATTCGCCCCTAATTTCGGGGTGAATCGGATCATTCATGTACTACTGAAAAAAATAAAATAAATGAAATTCTTATTGACAAATTCTTTAAAATTAACTTTAAATATTTAAATTGAAGTATAACGAGGTCAATTGGTACATAAATCGCAAGTATATAGTCCTTTTTCATCTTTCCTATTTGCACAATTTTCATGGCACCATTCTTCACAAACATTGCACTGAATCCAGTCTTCTGAAGGTGGATGGACAAATTTTTCTTTACAGTAAATACAGTGCCATTCTGTTGATAAATTGTTTTTATTCTTAATTTTAATTCCTGGAGTTAGTTTATTTTTTTTCTTAGACTGCATTTTGTCTTTACTTTGTATAGTGCTCACTTTATTTTCTTTATCAGTTTTTTTTTTAAGTTTTTGAAGAAGTCGTATTTTATTTTCAGGAGATGTCAAATGCAAAATCGGTTTTGTGGCTGCTTTAGTTCTTTTTACAGTTGTTTTTTTCGGTAGAGGAAGAAGCTCCTTTATGGTGTTGGCAATTTCACTGCTAGCACTAGAAAGTTGTGTATCATTACTCATTAAAGGCATCTCAATGAAGTGGATACTATTTGTGGTATTATCTCCGACAAACTTGTGAGCCGGTATGGCATTGAGATTTAATGGATAAATTCCTGTCTTCTCAAAACCTTTTGTAGCATTTCCAACCGTTGCCGATAAATTCCAAGCCTGCTTTAATAAGCCTCCAAAAACAATCTTGCTGATTCCTTTGCCTGTGTTAGAATGTTGCCATGTGGTCGCTTGTTGGTGATAATAAGTTTTTAATGGCTTAAAAAAAGAGACATCAAGTGGTTGAAGAGCATGAGATGTGTGTGGTGGAATGAGTACGAGCTCAATTTCGGAAGCTTCACACAAATCTACTACTGCCAAGTTTGTGTGTGATAAGTGACCATCTAAAATTAAAATCACTTTTCCTTTTGTGCGGTAGCGATTAAAATGATCCAACCACATCTTAAATGCATCTTCAGTTATCCAACCTTTTTCTGTCATAACAATCTCGGTTCCAGAAGGCATACCAATCATAAAATCATCTCGTTTACGCACACCTTTAAAAAGAACGAATGGAGGTATGAATTGTCCTGCAGCGTTCATGCATGCTAAAACTGTCACGTTTTCGCCCCGCTCAACACTAGTCATACTTATCACATCTTTACTTCCTTTTGCCGCAATGATATTGGGAGGACGATTGTTCAGAGGCAGCCCTGTTTCATCTTGATTGTATATACATTCCGGTCTGTCCCACAGATTGTTATCATCAATAACTTTCTCCAACATCTTGTAAAAATCTCTCACTTTTTCTTCTTGCATGCCATTACATCTGGCTCGAGATAAACTTTCTGGTTTTCTAATTGTAATTTCTTTGTTTCTCTGCATAAATCTATGAAACCAGTCTTCACCTGCCATCTTTGCATTTGTGTTAAAATTATGTTTTAAATTATGGCGAATTACAAAATCAAAAGCGTACTTGCGGACGTTCTTAGGTGTAATCCCGAATCCCCGAGTTGCTAAATAAATTAAGCGTTTAGCAAATAGTTTTTCAGCTACTGTATTCATAATTGGCTGTCCACCACGGCGTTTAATAACGTCTTGACATGTTACTCGCCTCTGCAAGGTTGTATATGGAACATTAAAAATATCTGAAGCCTGACGCAAAGTCATTTCTCCGGATTTTACTTTCTTTACTGCTTCGTTCATTTTTTCTTGACACCATGATTTGTCATTTGATTTTCTTACATATGTACGAACCATCTATAAATCAATTATTACGTTATTAGAATCAAATAATTACTAAGAAAGAAGAAAAAACATGATCCGGCTCGCCCCGAAAAACGTGATCCGATTAGCCCCATGTATATGGATTATACAATTAGTAGATTTTTAACAAACATGTTATACTATTTTACTTTAAAATATCCAAAACATTACTATAGCATACTATGCAAAGCAACAATAATACTCACATATCAATTTTAACTTACCTTTTTATTATATACAAGATATAACAGTGATTATATTTTAGATTTTCGCCAAAATTTCACCGAGCTTTTGTGTCGTTTCTTCTTACGACGTGAACAAACAACAAAGTACGAGCGATATCCATGCACTGGCAATTGTTTTAGACGCGAGAGAAGGGGAACAAAGTAACACATGTGACAGAACATCTTATTCTGTCAAAATGTAATAAATATAATCTCAATCTTTATTTTGATCCGATTCGCCCTGTGATCCGATTCGCCTCGGTCTACCCTATTTATAAAATTTGTTATTGAATTGAAAAAATGAAGAGTTAAAAATAAAATTAAGAGCTATAAAAAATTCTTCTTTAGGTAAGCTGGTGTTGTTGTTTATCAAATGTTATCGTTTCTCTAATCCTTTGATTGCAAGGTCTAGTGGAATATTGGTGAATAACGATATAACATCGAGAGAGATTAACTCAAACGATTCATCGAAAGTCATCTGAGAGATCCAACTGGCAAGGTGGAAACTATTGTAAACAAAACTCGAAAGAGGTTCGATGCTTTTAGAAATAATTTTGTGCAAAAATATTGCTAAGTTATGTAGCGGGCTATTAACAGACGAAATAATAATCCTGAGAGGATTATCTGGTTTGTGGATCTTTGGGACACCTTTGCTTTTTTATACCACTCTTCCTTTATATATATCCCGAAGTTTTATATAAATTTTCTAAATAATGCAAATTCTATATAAATATGTTAATATGTGTTCTACGCATGTGTTGTATATCGCGGTAAGAGACTAAAAATTTCTTTTATGCATAATTGTATGGAGCAATTTAAGTTACAAAAGCCAGTAATCAAGATCCTTATAATCCTAACTTTATCGTATCTGCCTTTTGTACGTATTTTTCTTTCGCGTTGCGTGTTTGTTTCAGGGTTTTTGCGATGCTAATACAATCCTTGCGTTAATCAAAGCCCAAATTAATGTTCGATGCAGCACCGAGCTCTTGCGTTACTTGTTTCACTTGGCGGTAATAACATAAACGCGTGCTCTCGCGCATTTTTACAAGTGTGCTCATCGTTTCTCGTCTCTCGTCATCGGATTTGACTACGCACTGTGATGCAAATGTGATCTAGACACTGATGTGGGAATTTCACGGATGGCATTGGAAATTCAAATTTATTCCACCGTTACTCGCTTTGCGCCGTTGACAGAAGTGCGCGCGCCCGTGTGTGTGTGTGTGTGTGTGTGTGTGTGTGTGTGTGTGTGTGTGTGTGAGAGAGAGAGAGAGAGAGTGTGTGTGTGTGTG